ACGTTGGACTCATGGCTTTTTCTCCTCTTGTTTTGTTTATACAGAGGTTAACAATACTTCAAATCGTGGCAAAATTATATAATGGAGAATTTCCCACTTCAAATTATCAAATCAAGGGCAATCTTCTCTATTACAAATGTCGTATTTTTATCAGTAACTATTCTTAAAAAATTTTACTTTTCGAATTTCACCTAACTCCCCTTGTAGGATATGGAGGGACACTTATAACAATAAAACGACTGGCTGTCAATTTCTTTTGGCCAGGATTACATAAAGATGTTGCTGATTTTGTCAGCAATTGCCTCATCAGCCAAAAAATTAAATTTGCCACCAATGACACTTGCCAGTCTCCTTTCATCTCTACCAACCCTATTAAAAAATAAAATTCGCTACCATGGCACCTGCCGGCCTCCTTTCACCTCTACCAATTCCCTCTCAAATTTGGGAAGATTTATCCATGGATTTCATCATTGGCCTCTCACTTTCAAAGGGATTCACTACCATTCTAGTTGCCATTGATCATCTCTCAAAGTATGCTCACTTCAGGCTTCTACCTTCAAATTACTCTGCCTCCAGAGTTGCAGATTTATTCATCTACATTTTCATTCGTTTACACGTTTTTCCTAACATTATAGTATTAGATTGTGACATTATCTTTTTAAATAGTTTATGGCGATGGCTTTTTTACTTTAAATGGTACTGCTTCATTGCAGTACTGCTTACCATCTGCATACAGATGGTCAGATGAAAATCCTCAATCGTTGTCTAAAATATTATCATCATGCCTGTACCTTGACCACTCTCTGTATATGGTCCACTTTTATTTGTTGGGCAAAACTATGCTACAATACTAATTTCTATTTAGCTATATAGATGACTCCCTATGATGTACAAACAAGGACATAACGACACATATACGACATGACACGGATATGAGACACGAGACATGTCAATTATTGAAAATATAGGATACGGACACGGTATTATAATTTTTATATTTTAAAAATAGTGTATAAAAATTGAATAAGTATAATATTAAAAATAATTTATAAAAAATAAGCCATTTAAGTAGAATTTGTGCTTAAAATGATTAATATTAGTATGTCGAGAGTCGGACGTTGATGTTGTATATCAGACATCGAGAGGAGACAACAATGCTTTCGAAAGTCGAGCAACAATGTTATGCTGTAAGTATCGAGTGTCGATGTCAATAGGGCGTCTGTCGTCGATATTGAGAAGGCATTGGTCGTCGATGTTAAGATAATGTCGGACAAAGATAAGCTATCAAATTGTGGGTGTAGAAATTGTTAGCGTCGAGCATCAACGTCAAAAAAGTGTCAGACTTTGATGTTAAGATAGTTTTGAAATGTCGATATTATAATGATGTCAGACTTTGATGTTGAGATAACATCAGACATTGTTGTGAAATCAAAGTCGCGGCCTGCCAAAGAGAAATGAAAAAGAGAATATTCGATGAATGTGATCTTGAGTGCGGGTGATTGATTTGGTGTTGTGGATAGGAAATAAGAAATTTATTTTTTAAATAATTTTTTTAAATATATGAAATTATATTTAAAAAATATTCATAAATTATTTAAGGCACGCGTGTCGGGCACACGTGTCTAATTTGTATATAATATTTTTTTAATTGAACACATTTTTTGCGTGTTCGGCACATGTTAGAGGCGTGTCGGACGCGTGTCATGTCAGATACATGTCAAACACTGCACACCTCTTTAAGGAGAAGTGTCAGTGCATCATAGATGACTCCCTTTCATGCTCTTTATGGGTGATGGCCACCATCATTTTTTTTTTAATGGCCACCATCATTCCTTCTTATGTCTGTCACACTTTAAACTTTGCTCTTGATTCTATTTTGATTGATCAAGATACATTACTCAAGAAACTTCACTAAAATATGCTACCGGCTCAGAATAAAGGTAATTTCCGTCTATCCTGTGGCAATTGGGTCATGGTTAAGCTCCAACCTTTTTGGCAATCCTCCATGGTAAATCATACACATTCTAAATTTGAAAAATGATATTTGGACCTTTTCAAGTTCAATCTATTATCAACTTAGTTTCCTACTGCCTTACACTACTACCTTCAGGCAGTAAAATTCATTCCATCTTCCATATTTCCATTCTCAAATCATTTAAAGGTAATACGCCACTCTCTCCAACAGTACTACCTGATTTCAGCTATAACAATCACCCTCTAAGTATGCCGGAGTTCAGTCTAGCCTCTTGCATTATACCTCTTCGCGATCATCCTCACCGTCCGGTACTTTTACAATGGACATTAGCAACTCCTGAAGATGCTTCATGGGAAAATTTCTCTGCTCTTTGTGCTTCATCACCTTCACTAACCTTGAGGGGAAGCTTGTTTTTCATGCCAACAGGAGTGCTAGGCAACATATTATTCACTTGGACTCCACTCCGATTTAGAACAATTGGGAACATTGGATCTGAACTGTTGAAGAAGAAGACAAGGATAACAATAACCACATCCAAGTATATTGTCAAAAAAACAAAGTTCCTGACGCTACATTCTACCCAACCTAGCAGCCTGCAGAACTCGCCAACTGATGTGAAACATATCCATGCGAAAGTGATTTTCTTAAAGAAGTTTGCATGCTTAGATTTAGAGGCAATAATAAGTAAGATCTTATGCGGAATTGAACGATAAGATAAATATTAAGTGATACTTAGCTTAGGTTAATTCACATGCATAGAAGTTAAGTTCAAAAGATAGCCAGCTTAATCCAACATTGCATATATGGATAGTTCCAACAATAGATTCCAATACTAACAATAAGATTAGTTGATATGAGAAGATCCCTCACACAACTCATCCAATTACTAGGTTTTAGCGGAGAAGCGTTAATATGATCTTCATGAAGATAATAAATTCACATTCAAGGCTGCAACTATGAAGATAGAGAGCCGGGTGTCAAATTTACCCAAAGACAAGAGAGATACGCGCTTTTGCAAAGTTGTTTGGTAGTTGGGAATGAAGTGGGCAGCAACTACGAACCTCCTCGCACTTCGCCGAGATTAACCTTTCCCACAAGCGTGGACAGCAGTTGGTGGCTGCAGGGAATTCCGGGACAGCAGGAAGTGATGCCGAACTCTCTAGACAGCAGTTTTGACAGCAGGGACAGCAATTTTGTCTTGTAGAAAACTTGGGACAACCACTTGGATGACTTGGGAAAGTCTTGGGCAGCAGTTGGGAGGCCTTCTTGGACCCCTTCCTTGCTGGTTTTGGCTTTCCTGGACTGGTGACAGCAGCCAATAGTTCTCCACGCAACTAGACAGCAGCTAGGAGGTCTCCCAGGACTGCTTCATGGCTGATTTGAGCGCTCCTGGACAGAGGACAGCAACCTGGATTTGTCCAATCAGCCGGACAGTAGGTGGAAATGCAGGAAACGTATGTGCCAGCCCTTGAGAATCCTTTGGACAGCAAATTGATAACTGTCAAATTAAGATTGACGGGATTAAATCAATCCCCATTCAAAATTTGAATTGACCTGAACTTAAGGAGTGATTATGGGTCTTTAATGACAAGGATTAATGAGAAAGCCGGAGGTTTTAATTGAAATAGAAAAACTGAAATAGATTTCAGTTTTAATTGGGATGGCAGGGAGGTTTAATTGAAATCAATTTCAGATTTCAAAATTTAGAAGGGGTGCATTGATGGCAATCAATGGGGGGAGCCCAATGAGTGGGCCGGCGGTATGGAGAGAGAGAGGGAGAGGGGTTTCCAAACATGAATGATGACTAGGAAAATTTTAAATAAATCCAAATTAATTGAATTTATAATTTGAATTCATTCAAAAAATTTTCATAAATGGAATTTCCAAATTTGGAAAGAATTTGAATTTTGAAATTCAAATTCCAAGGAAGGCTATGGAAGGGAGGCGCGGGGGAAGTGGTGGAGAGGGGAGAGGCCGTCGGCAAGGTGGTCGGCCGGTGGAGCTAGGGTGGCCGACGGGATGGAGCTGCAAGGGTGGTGGCACTAGTGTAGGCTTCGGCTTCTTCCAACTATTGGACTTTGCTTGTGGTAGTTTATGGGGAGAAGAAGAACTATGCTTGTAATTACCTAGAGAACTCACAAAGAGATCTCAAACAAAGAACTCACTAAGAGATCTTCAAGAAGGAACTTACAAGGAGAACACAAGAACAAAATTTTTCATTCAAACCATCATCCCCTCTCCAAGAGGAGGGAGAAGGCTTAAATAGTCAAATACATGAAGAAAAATAAAAAGACACATTTGCCCTTCCGGCAAACACATGACGAGGCCCTTAAACAAGGGCATAAATGGAAAGAAATACAAAAGACTCATAAAACATAAAATAAAATATATCAAATACAATAATAATCAAAAGTAGATCGTGGCCGTAGATCATGGGTCTTCTGATGTCCTCATCGCCAACAATAGAAAGCAAACACAACTCAAAACAGCAATAGCATGACAACATTCCAGCAGCAGTGGCAATTCAACTCTGTATAGCCGAATGATGTAAACAGCAGGACTATGCATTTTATTTATAATTAGTTAACTCATTTTGTATTTACTTTTGTTATATTTTCGTTTAGATCATAACCGATTCAGCACTTAGCCAAACCGTTTCAGCTATAGGCAAAACTTATGTATTTAAATATCCAAAACTGCTGTAAGTATGGCAATGAAAATAAAATTCTGTTTTTCTTCGCTTCTCATTTCCCTTCTTGGAGTTTGCACCTACTCAAAAAATGTCCTCAACACTTAATGATGGAACAACATACTCTTAGACTGATCTAACTTTAGATTGTTTCTTGTGGAGAACAATGAACAGCAATATACATAACTTTTGAAACACAGAGGTTACTTCTACCATTAAGTCGCGTACTTGTTTATCTTTAAAAGCAAACCAACACGCCTTTCAGCTTGCTTCATTTTCTTTTTACTTTTTTATTTTCAACTCATTGTAAGATTTTTCTTCTTTTAACGTTCACAGAGATATTCAATCAAGTAGTATCCTTCTTGATGACAAGTTTGAAGTGCGCCTTGGAAGTTTAAGTGACGTGTGTGCTCAGGATGGGGACAATCATCCCAATGTGATTACCAGAATATTGAGGAGATCACAGTAAGTTCTCTAGTTACAATATCTCAGTAAGATTTTATCTCAAACGCTTTGGACGGCATAATTTACTAAAACTCGAGCATCTTATATGAATTCGTTTTAAAATGATGTAATTTTGTAAAATTACTGAATTATTCCCATTTCCCATAAAATGATTCACCATTTATTGCTCAACCACACCGTGTTGAGGATCAGGTAGATACGGTTGATGGGCCAAGTGAACATCAAACAATTTTTATTGATGTGAATGCAAAATAAAGGGTAAGGAAGCAAGAGAGAGAGAGTGAGAGAGAGAGAGAAGGAGAACAAGCTGTGCAGGCAAACAATTATCCGAGCTTCTTGTTGCTGACGAGCAAAATAAGTACCTATTCGAAACAAGTTTAAATTCAGTTTGCACTCTCAAACTAGATTCTTGGGGAAGAAGTGATAAGTCATTAGCTGTTAAGGCAAGTGGTGTCGTTATAAATTAGATGATCAACCCAACCTGATTTCATAGAATTGTTTTAGTTCTAATTCTTGTTTTTAATTAAATGATATTTCCCTTTGATTGTTAAATATATATCTTCATCTAATGCTGTTGTAATGAGGGCTTCAAATGACTTCAGGATTGAGTATGATGTGTCACAAACCTACAAACCGAAAAGGAAAAAAAAAAAAAAACACAACATAGAAGACTCCAAGATTTATGCAGTTCGTCTTCAACAAATCCTAGGTTAAAAGAAGATAAAGAGATGATCTCATCCATTATAAAAACATAGAAGCCATAATCAAGTGGAAAAATATGAGCATTAATCAACTCTTTCCCAATTTTCAAGTCATTCACACACAAAGAAGAATAATTACATGAATCTTATAGCAAGAGATTCCCTCACAAAAAAAGTATTCTTCATTATGCATGCTCCAATGAATCTTTAATCCCATTTAAATCTTAGCCCAATAAGGTATGTCGATGATGAATGAAACATAACTCAAATTTCATACCAAACCTTGTACTAAGCCTCCAACAATCGGCTTTAAAATGATGAGAACCTACTAAATATAGCCAATGACCATTTGTCCTGCACACTTTCCAAGGGAGTTAAAACACTGCTTGTGGTCCAAGGCAATTCACTTGAATCCCGAGGAATCTCAATTTACGCTTTAACTATGACATTATGTATAAGAAATTATCATGGGGATATGCATTTAAATATTTAATTGAGTCACCCTTTTAACAATTTTTTCCCTTAATTCAATTTGTTGCAAAAATGGATCTACCAATTTACTCCTTTCCAAGCCAACTGCTCTAAGATCTAAAACCCTCAAAAGGCTTAGCAACACACATCTGAATACCTATAAGAGACCTCCATAGCACATTTGTTGTATGCAAAGATGAATATATCAATACTATAAATGCACATGCCACAAATTTTTTGTTCCTTCAAGGTAGCCATTTTCTCTCCCAAAGTACCACAATTTTATGATCTGAAACTAGGACAAATTGTGTAATGCAAACATGGTTTGTTTAATCATCTTTTAAAGACTTCCCAACATCTCATTCCTAAATATTTTTGGAATTTTCATACGACTAGGAAGCAACTCTTTTACTTATCCTTAAGATTTTGATGCTTCAGCATGAATAATAGCCGCTCTTTGGTTCTTTCTATAAAGAATTCTGCAAGCATAATTGGATTGCCAAAAAACCCTTTTACAAGAACAACAACATCAAGCCTTAATCCTACTATGTGGGGTCAGCTACATGAATACATTTTCTCCATTGTGTCATGTTAAGAGTCAAATTCTCATTTGAATTTAATAAAGAAAAGTTATTTCTAATATTTTCTAACCAAGTCTTTTAAGGTCTACCTCTACTTTTCTTAACATAAGTAAAATCTAATACATCTACTCTCCTAATCGGGTCATTAGAAGCCCGCCATTTTATGTGACCAAACCATCTAAGGAGACTCTCACTAATCTTATCTTCCATTGGAGCTATTCCAATGTTTTGACGTATATGCTCATTTCATTTCCTATCTCTAAGAATAAAGCTACTCATCCACCTGAGCATCCTCATCTCTGCAATATTATGCTTCTCTTTTAATGGTCAACATTCTGTACCATAAAGCATTGCAGGTCTCACTACGATTTTGTAGAATTTTCCCTTAAGTTTGAGGGGTACTTTTCTATCACACGATAAACCCAATGCATTCCTCCACTTCAACCATCCAATTTGAATTCTACTAATAATATCTCAAGATATCTAAAACGTGCCAAAAAATCCTTTGTTCTCCATAAAAAAATTTTGATCTCAAACTTCATGACATCAATCTAAGAATTCTTTTCTAATGCTAGTTTATTATAATAAGGGCACCAAATAACTTAAAAGTAGACGCATCACTAGGATTTAGAATGATGTGCCGCAAAATAACACAAAAGAAAAAAGAAAACACAACACATAAGGTATCAAAATTTACATGATTTGACTTCAGTGTAATCTGCATCTACAAGAGAAGAGAGGGAATCCGATCCACCAGAAAATGCATTAGCCACAATCATGTGCAAAATAAGATGAATCATCGGCCCTTTTCCAAATCCTAAATACACTCTGACACAAAAAGAAGGATCCCCAGACTCACTTCATGGGATTTCCTCATATATAAGTATTCATCTTTCTACCTGCACCAATAAAGTCTCTAATCGTTCAATGGAACCCTATCCTTAGAGAATATATAGATGATGAATAAGATTGAACTCCAATCTCACATGAAATCCTGAAGGTTGAGAGGCTATGCCATTGAAGTCTCCAATGATTGGCAGTTGATGATCATCTGCCCTGCACACTTGCTGAGGAATTTAAAACCTACATGTGCCCCAAGGAAACCGCTTGTATCCCAAGGGAATGGGATTCCAAAACCCATTTTGAAGGCGCTGGTCTCCTTAACTTCCAATTCTTTGACGAATTCCCACACAGCATTACGTATTTGGAATATCATTAGAGTACGCATTTTATTGAGTCACGTTTTTAACAGATGCTAATGACTTCTTATAAACCTAACTATTGACATGGAAGGATGAGATTAAGGCTTCGTTTGAGACTGCTTTCTTATTGCTTCTTAAAGTAATTTTCTAGTAGAAAAAAATTATTTTTTGTAATAAAAAACTGTTTTAAGAAGCAGTAAGAAAACCGTCCCAAACGAAACCTAAAACTTAAACTTGCAGCCTTACCATCAGTGCTAAGTTTCATTTCAATAATCTAACAATTCATCTTTCTTGTTTGTGAATTTCAGGACACCAGAGCAGGGAACTTCTGGTGCGTGCCATTCTTTCTATCTTCACTCTTCTTTTTTGCAAGTTTAGTTGAATTCTCTCTTTATTCCTTCCAAATTAATGCACAGGCTCCAGTGCAACATGTGCCTTTGACATATACGGCTTAGGAAAGGTGATGCTTGAGCTGATCACAGGCAAGTTTGGCATCAGCTCTTCTAATGACCTGATGGATACCGAGTGGTTGGATAGAACTCTACCTTACATCAACATCAATGAGAAGGACCTGATATCGAAGATCATCGACCCGACACTCATGGTCGATGATGATCTTCTAGAAGAGGTATGGGCAATGGCAGTCATGGCGCGTTGCTGCCTCAATCCAAAACCTCACAAGCGCCCTCTTGCAAGACACCTCTTGAAGGCATTACATAATCCTTTGAGAGTGGTGAGAGATGAAAGTTTTTCGGGCTCCGGTCCGCTGAGGAGCAGTTCATCACACAGCTCATGGATAGGAGCTTTCCTTGGTGGTTGGTTACACAGCTCGTCTGAAATATTGTCTGTCTCAGGACAGCTGGGGAGAGATCAAAACATATTGCAGGCGGGTGGTGCAAGATCTCATGGGAGCTTGGAAGATCACTCGTTCTCCCGTACCAGAGCTTCAAGGGAGGTATTCCCTGAGCCAAATGGGACTTCCACCGAAGTTGATGAGTAGTGAAGATAGGTTCCACCATTTATTTTGGATTGAGAGATTTTTTAGACCTTAGAGATCTTTGCTCATCTCCAAGGAACGGCAAATTATTAGATGCAGATATTGGATAGAGAGAATCATCCGGATTTCTCTCTGTCTACAGTAAAAGCATAGTCAAAGTGCAGTTGTTATAGTAACTGTGTTTTGACTGCGCTTTTATTATAGACAGAGAGAAATCCTGATGATTCTCTATATCAGGCATCCGAACCTAATAATTTCTCCCAAGGAACAGCCTGGGGCCCGTGTGCTTGTCCATGATGCTTCATGGAATTTCAAGTAGAGATAAAGATGGTCGTGGCCTATGCTTGTGCTGTATAAACCGCTTGAAATTTGGCTACTGCAGGCTGGCTGCTGAAGAAGCACACTGGACCTCCAGTTTTGAAAAATTGTAATGTTATTTTGTAATTTCATTTTTCTCCTATTGTTTGTCGAGTGTCCCAAAATGTACAATTGTTAATTCCTCTTTTATAAATTTTCAGTAATGAGCAGCAAGAAATAAAATGAAATGAATAAAAGGAAGAGAAGAATGAGAAGCTAAATTGCTTGTTTGGTTACTGCAGAAAGACGTTGTAACTGTTGCATTTTTTGAGGCAGTGTAATATTGATTTCTTCTGTACTTTCACAGTTTTTCTTTGCTTGTTAAGATGTTGCAGATGCACTTTTTCAATTGTAATATTTTATCAACTGTTTAAGTTGTGGTTTTTAGTAGCAGAAAAAGAAAATAGGGGTTTTTACATCTGCACGACTTTATAACATCTATTTTACATATTTAACATCCTAAACATTAATATTTCATTTTTACCACCTCAACACAATTCTATCATCAGATATACCACTCCGTCCATATCACTGCTCACGACGTTATCCCATTCTCGTGACCTGTAACTGGTTTCACCGAAATCCCTCATCCCGCAAGTCTTCCCTTCCCCTGCCGCACTCCATCTATTCTGTTCTAGTCCCTAGGTTGAACAGCTCCAGGGTTTCCTCGCGAGAAGAAGGCGTTTCCCTCGTCTGGTCGGATTGCTCCGCATTTGCTTCCCCTCCGTGAGTTTCTTGAGTTTTGTGACCTAAACCACCGCCGAAGGTAAATTCTTCGGATTGCTCTGCATGTGCCGAAGTTTTCTACATTTTTTTTGCAAATGAACTCATTGCTGCCGAAGTTTTCTAAATTTTTTTTGCTAATGGAACCTCCGTGAGTTTTGACAAATTTTTTTACTTTGACAGGCTCTACAAAACTTCTCCAATGAGTTCAACAAATTCTTCTGTTAGGGAAAGAACACAATAGCAATCACAAATTTATTATTACTGTCAATTGAAGTGTGTGGTGTACACATGTTATCGAGGACCTAATCGAGGTAGACAATTTTATAGATGCTTTCATAGTCGAATTGATGATAATTGCAATTTCTTTAAATGGATAGATGAATTAGAAGAGCTTTATCATGACACACATTATGATTTGAAAGCCGCAAACGACAAGATTTTGAAGTAGCTTGACTTGGTCATCTTTAAGTTAAAAGTGTTTATTGCTCTTGTAGCCCTCGACATCATCATTAGGATGTATTTTGATGTTATATTTGTTGTTGTAAATGTATTGTATTTTTCTGTTGTATTTGTTGTGTGTAACTGTGTTATATGGAACATCTTCTGAACTATGTTGTAGCTTCTGAAATTAAATAAATGTTTTTCTTCTGAAGCTAGTAAAACAATTTGCATTCGTTTACAGAAATTTTGGTTTACAGTTTGCAATCATTTACAGAAATTTTGGTTTACAATTTGAATTTGTTTTTGATTGGTTGACAGAAATTGCAATCGTTTACAATATTGATTTACAGTTTGCTGAACTAGTAAAACAAATAACTTCTCCAATTTGTATCCTGCACAAAACCCAAATATCGAGCACTTGTAAGAGCTGAAGCGATTACCGCATGGCCAACGCTCATTAAAAGCGGCCTCACAGAACCCAAATATAGAGCACCTGGAAGCCTTGAAGCGATTACCACAACCCAAATACAGAGAAACTAAGGTAGCTGTGATGTGAAACAATCCATGCGAAAGTGATTTGCTTAAAGAAGTTTGCATGTTTAGATTTAGAGGCAATAATAAGCAAGATCTTATGCGGAATTGAACGATAAGTTAAATATTAAAGTGGTACCTAGCTTAGGTTATCTCACATGCATAGAAGTTAAGTTCAAAAGATAGCCAGTTTAATCCAACATTGCATGCATGGATCGTTCCAATAATTGATTCCAATACTAACAATAAGATTAGTCTATGAAATATCCCTCACACAACTCTTCTAATTACTAGGCTTTAGCAGAGAAGCATTAATATGATCTTCATGAAGATAATAAATTCACGTACATTCAAGGATGTAACTATGAATATAGAGAGTCGGGTGTCGAAGTTACCCAAAGACAAGAGAGATACGCACTCCGGCAAGGTTGTTTTAAAGTTGGGAACGAAGTGGACAGCAGCCACGAACCTCCTCGCACTAAGGAAAACCCGGGAAGAGGGGCAAGTACATGTTCTGGATCTTCTAAATCACGGGTTGCAGGTGAAGCAGCAACAAGGAAGATGTAAATTCTCTGAACTTCTGGAAAGCAATCCCGGTAGGAAGATTTCAGGCTCACCAAAATCCAGAAAAAGGAATTTCAGATTTTTGTAACCAAAATCTGAGAAGACTTTCCATTTTTCCAAATTCTTCTACAAAGATGAAGTAATTCTTTGGAGGAATATGAAATGTTTCATATTTTCTTCTCTCAAAAATCTGAGAGGAATTCCAACTCTCATTTCAGGGAGGAAAAACTTAGCAGCAAGACTTATGGAAAACAAGCCACGTGAAGTGGAGGAGGAGAGGAAATCTGAGAGGGAATAATCTTGATTTCCAATCTCAGATTTTGAAATCTGGAATAAAAGCTAAAATTACATTTGAGAGGAGAGGTATTTGGGAGGTAATTAAGAGGTGGTGAGGTGGCAATTAGAGAGAGAAGCAATGGGGGTGAGGTGGCCGGACATAAGGAGAGAGAAAGGCTTGGTATTAACTCACATGGGGCTCACAATTTAATCACAGATTTTATTCAAAAATCTGGAATGGAAATTCTAGGTTTCAATTAAGAGGAAAGTTTCCTAATGTATGGCCCTCAATTGAATTGATTGGAATTTCAATTTGGATGGGAATACCATTAGGAAGATTGCCAAAAATCAGGGGTTTAACTTAGGAAAGTTAATTATGTCTCATGGGGAGGTTTGAAATTTCAAATTTCAAACCCCATGAAGGGAGGTCGGCGGCAATGAGGAGGAGGGAGAGGGGTTAGGGGGGGGGGGAGGAGATTCAATGCTTTCCAAATAAGTGAGATCAAGTAAGAGGGAAACTAATAGCTCCACTCCCAATGAAATTTGAATTGGATTCAAATTTAAAATCTTTCCTTATTTGGAATTTTGCAACTATGGAATGTTTTTTAATTTCAAATTTTGAAATTCGAAAATCGGTAACTCCTTTATTTGTTGCTAGGCCACAATAAAGGAGCCATTATGATGATTGACATCTACATCATGGCTTGGGGCAAGGTGGTGGCCGGCAGCCAAAGGAGGAGGAGGGGGCTTGCCGTCGGGTTTGGGGGTTTATTGATGGAGCTTGGGTTGTAGTGGAGGAAGCTAGTGGATAAAGCGGTGGATGATTGAATCTCGGGTAGGGCTTGGCGTGGAGAGGAGGAAAACAAGAGCTAGAGAAGAAAATAATAAGATAAAATAAACCACGAGTCGAGGATGCTTCCAACGACTGGCGGGTATTGCTTTTGCCCTCACCTTGGGCTTTCCATAGAACTCACACAGAGATCTAGGAGAGTTGAACTCACCAAGAGATCAAGAAAATATTAACTCATAAAGAGAACACAAATAGAAGAATTTCAATTTCAATAATTATCATCCCTTTCCAAGAGGAAGGGGAAGGCTTAAATAGCCAAATACATGAAGGAAAATAAAAAGACACAATTGCCCCTAGGGCCAACGTAAGACAAAGCCCTCAAGTGAGGATAGAAAGGGAAAAGTGTAAATAACAAATCAAATACATCAAAATAACTAGACACGATCGTAGCCGTTGATCTTCGATTTCCTCATCAAGCTGTTTCTGTGGCAATGCCTTAGCCCATACAACATACCATGCAAATAAATAACAGTTTGTAACCAAATCTGGCCTGAAAAAGATTCAAGTTTTCCTCTGACATTGTAACCAAATCTGGAAGCATGGAGTCTCTCAAATGACCGTTCAAAGTGCACAATTTATTTTTGATTGCCTATGTTGTTTTATAAGTTCTGTTTCATACAAAAAACCAAAACTACATTCAAAAAATCATTAATGGGGTACACTTATAAACCATCAAGATATGAATATTGATATTATTCAACTTCATTGTCAGCTACATTCCTTCTGCATGGCAACTTCTCTCGTCTCGTGATGCCATATTGTGTGGAATATATAGTCTCGTTGTTCTTTTTTTGGAGTGGGTTTTTGCAAGTGCTCCGATGATGGCCCCAAAGACCACACCTAGCACATTTATGAGTTTTCTTGTCCTTTCCAAGAAATTTATTAGTCTTTTTTTTTTCTAGGCCTATCCCTTGGTCTGGATGTACTCAGAACTCCAACTTCGACAGCATCATTAACTACTCTCCACTGATCCTTTCCAGGTAGCGCAACTATATACCTATAGATTTTGTATCATATTAAACACTTAATTGAAACTGTATAAGCATAGATTTTAGTTATTTAAGGTTTACTTCGACACGTAGTAGTGTTCATCAATATAAGAATGCCATAGTGGGTGTTCTTTCATGCCAATGAATGCTACGGCATGAATACATGGAAATCCAATAAGCTACCGCACCCTATAAGTGCATTCTCGTTTCTCAACATCGACAATATGTCTTGAATGTAGACCTTCCACCTCATCATGCCAAACACTTGATTGACACACAATTAGATGATCTTTTCTAGTTGTAATATTCCTTATGTACTCCTCTGCTTGCGGGACTAGCTCTCGATGCCATGTCAGGCTATTCATCTTTCGAACAACCCTTTGCTCCATCAGCATACCACGAATGATATCAATCAGGTCGACAACAGGTTTATTTCGAGCTTCTAAAATCCAAGAGTTAAATGATTCAGATAAATTGTTAGTATTAGCTGCATGGTTAATCCTTAGCTATATTGAATAAACCATTATTGTCATCGAGTGCATTTACTGATAAAAGCACACCCAAATACTTTGATTTAAGATGACAGGCATCCATACTAATAAGTGGTCTATAACCACTGATAAATCCTTCAGCACACACCTTAAAACTAACATAAAATCTTTGAAATGAATGATATGAACTATCACATGTGTATGTAATATGTGACCCTGGATTTCTTTCAAGTAATTCAACTTTTAATGTTGGGACCCATTTGTAGCTATTATCAATCGAACCGAAAATAGTATCACGGGCTTATTCTCTTGCTCTCCAAAGCTTCATGTAAGGTACTGATAAACCATACTCTTTTTCTAGATTGCTCTTTATTTTG